CATAATGTAACTATTTAGTGGGATTAAATAGATAGAGTTGTATCATCACATCAACATCTACATTTAATCAATACACGACTGACAAATTAAATGAATTTAGTACGATTCAAAAACTCTCCGACAGTATTTATTGTCATGTAACAAATAACTGAACATATGACTTCAAATATAAATGTTGTTCTCCCAATAACTATATAAAACTAGAGCTGCATTTCAAAATAAGAAAAAATGAAGAAAATGTGAAAGAAAAGCTTGAATTGTCCCTTTTCTGTTTCACTTTCTTGCTCAGCGGGAGGATTGAGCTAGCTAGCTTGTCCGGTCAGGAGTTTAAACCTGGGTGTGAAAGCAGTCAGGGACATTCTCATGTGGAGTTGCTCATTGTGCCTCATAATGTCATTTCCCATTGCCACTTTTAATAAGTGCTACGGTTTCTAGGCATGTGAGTCACACTGGTTTAGTGCTCCCAGTGGGAAGTATGAACAGAAACAAGTCTGTCTATTCTGAATTTAAATGCCTCACTTTTGTTGTCCACTTTTCTCTTTTGGGATTTGTTCCTACTTTTCATCATTCGTCCCTTTCTTTCGCTTTCTCTCAGAAAGAGCAGTCTCACGTTTTGTTTATAATTTGACGCCATCTCTCTAATCTGTGCAGTGCTGAGACAACATTGTCCTGCCAGGGATGCAAATAATCAAGTGGTATCACGTGGGATGGTTTAACTTGAACGTAATTGGTCTGATCTTTAGGCCACACCCATAAACACCACCAAAGCTGTGCCGGTGAAAAAGTTACCTCTTCTGGTTTAAGCTTTTGGTCCGGCTGGGACGGCTTGTGGGTTCAGTTAGTTACCTCTGATCTAGGGCGTCTGCAGATGTGTGTGGTATTTCTGCAGGCTGATGCAGGTTGAGGGCACCTATGGGTGCGAACTGTGCTCATAGCGAGGTTCCACAATTAAGCATAATGTTCACCCAACTTCACTGAGGGAGAGGTAAAGATAACCTTAACATGATCTGTATAGGACATATTTACAATATAGTTTTGTAATTGTGAATACACAAAAGTTAAGTTGACCAAAGTTGCACTCAAACAAGAGGCTTCATAATTATTTCAAGGGAAGCTATCGACTGACGCCTGACACTTGCTACAGTAGTGATGCACGACAGACTGAAACAGTGACTCGCTAACAATGAAGCTGGCCTTGCGTTGACGGTTTAGATTTCTCTTACTCTGTGTGAGCAGAGCGTCAGCCTCATGGGTAAATGTTGTGCACACTAAACCCACTCAGTGATTTATGATCAGTCTCAGTGCAGGAAGTATGTGAGATGTTCATGCATGGCAGTGAAAAGTTAAGGTGGAGGGCAGGGTAAAGGATGAGTTTGCGTTCAACACTGGGTTCATATTGTGTAAAATGCATTTTGCTAGGAACTCTTTTTTTCAGCCTTAATGAAGTGGTTTTATGTGTCTAACCGTTTTTAACTGTCGTGCAAGAATTTGACAGGAATAATTAAATAAAAACAGCTGTCATATTTCAGATATGCACACAATAAACAGAGTTTGGTGTGCTGAATATGAACAAAATTGTAACTGCATGTTTGTTGTGGCTAAATAGTGAAAGCAATTTGGTCAACATCCCAAAACTGTATAACAACTTTATGACTTGTTGTGGGTGAAGGATGGTGAGGTGGCCTCTCAGCCTCTTGGACGGATGTATCAAGCCTAAAGACCTGTCAACCAAAGCAAACCCCCACTCAAAACATACTTCTCCTCATCATTGGAGCTATTCACAATATTGATATCCTCATGATATTTCATGAATCATATATTCATCACTAAACACAAGTTAGAAGATGTGAAATGCTTTGTGAGCACAGCTTACATCAACCGAGTTGCTCTGCTAGTCACTAGACACGGCCTTGCTTTGAGTTAATTGCTATTCTGAGAATGCTAACATGCTTACTTACCTTTTTCACAGCGGACATCGCGACTCGTCACAGCAGGAAAAGCACAGGTGTAATTGATATAACAATACATATTACTGCATTCCATTCAAGAGATGCTTATTCCTGTTTGCTGGCCGCTAGACCCTTTTCACAGCAGCGTGCAATTGAGCAATGAGATTAATTATGGTCCCATTATTTTCAATGTCGGACATCCCGGTGAGCCAGCGTGTTATGGCCCCGGCCCACCTAACTGGGACGTGGACAGATTTAATGCTGTAATTTACCCGTCCAATGTATTGGCACCATAACTTGGTGTTGGGGGTTTGTGTGCCAGAGGGACCCAGTTAGCCGTGTGGGTCCCGACAGCGTCTCCCAGTAATTCACTGACCTCATATCACACCTCACACGGTGAAGAAGAAATCAGGGCCCCTCTCCTGGAGCCAGACTTGTGAGGGAAACCTGTGTTTGGTGGCTGGGCCTTGAAACTGGGGGGGAGGGGGGCATAGCAGGGCACATCCTGATCAATTGAATTACACAAAACAACTGTCTGTGTTTGTCAAATGCCGGTTGCCCAACTCCTCACTTCTTCCAGCTCTTCCCCACCTCCTCCACTCGCATCGACTGTGAGAGCTGGCACACAAGAAGAGGACATGAGAAATGGAATGGAAGGCACATGTTAGCATTATGAAAAGCCCTCAATGTCAGTCTCACAGGGAAAAATGTTGCACTCTAGAAAAGTGGAAAGCGAGGTCACTTTATTTGAAACGTACTTTTGATAAAAGATTTTCATTCATGAACTTCATTAACTTTGTATTAAAACATTTTGTCAAATGTCAAGGGTGGATTAGTCCGCACAACGTCTCCCTCTGCTTTCAATGGCATCACCGTTCCTGCTTCCACACACATCTGTAACCTTGGTGTCATCTTCGATGCGACACTCTCCTTTGAACGCCACGACAAGCACATAACAGAAGATCGCCTTCTTTCATCTTAAAAGCACCGGCCGTCTGCGCCCCTTCCTCTGCTCTTCTCATCCACGCCGTCGTCACCTTTCGACCGAACTACATGCAAAAGCATCCTGTGCAGCACATCCACCAAAATCATCAAAAAACTACAATACATTCAGAGCGTCGTCCCAATCCTTGGAAAACTCCACTGGCTCCCCGTACCTCAAAGAATACAGTTTGAGGTTCATACAAAACCTTTCACGACCTTGTCCCCGTCTTACCTGTCTGACCTTCTGCACCCACACGCTCCCACGTGCAACCTCAGATATGCTTACACCAACCTCTGTATCCCCCCCCATGCCCCACCCCATCACCCTGTTCTGTCCAAATATCAGACCTGGGGGTATTGGGCCTTCTGTATTGCTGCTCCCTTCCTCTGGAACTCTCTCCTCAGAACCTCTGACATTCTCCGCCACTTTTAGCACTTGAAACTCTCTTTAAATCTGCTTTTAACCTGTGAGTCTAGTTAACTATGTTTTAGTTTTATGTCTCACTGTTTTGTCACCCCTTTCATTTGTATTGTTATTGCTTCTAATGTAAATTGCTTTACAAATTAAATGGGTTATCAATATTAATGCACACAATGTTATTGCACAAGGAAGAACTGTGTTCAATAATTGTTTCAACAACTTCACAGCAGTTCCAAACTTAGCCTTTTATCCAAGATGCAATTATACAATTAGAGATACAACAGGGAAACATGACATTTCCAGGAGTGGATGGCAAAGCCACCCAGACAATTAACTGCTTTTGTTAGAAATTCCCAATTTTAATGTGAGCTTCACATTAATATTGAGGTGACATTTAAAACACCTACCTTTTGTGTTTCAACCAAGCTACATTATGCTACAACAACTAAACTGTGCAGTGTGTTGGCAGAGAGTCCTGGTAATAAACATTAAACCATAATTTTCTCTTACTAACTCAATTTGATGAATGAGTAAAGGAAATAACTCATATTTGCCACAAATCAACTATGTGGAGTCATAGAAAAGTGGAGTCATTCTTATGTGGGTTGACATTATTTTGCAGACTGAGATTAGTTTGTCCTAATTAGTTGTGTGCTTGAAGACTTTATTGTGCTTCTATCGAGCACTCTGTGCCGGTTTGTGTTGCTTTAGAAATCTGGGCGCAAAAGTGAATTCCACATCAAAGAAAATAATTAAATCTGAGCTTTTCTTAAATTGACACACTTCAAATTGGGACTGACCTGGCTTTGGAAAAAAATAAAAAACATGCTTTTCTTGGTGCGTTTTCCGCGTTATTGAATTTCTTTTACATTGTTTTAAAAAGAGAAGATAGGACACTTCTGAAAAGGTAATTGTTTTTGCTTATATCAGCAGTTCTCCTTATGCTGCTCATCGATGTTTGAAACAATATAAGATTAGTGGTCAATGGGGTAAATGATGCGTTAAATGAGGGCAAGCAGGTTAGGGCTAGTCCGACTTTTTCTGTCTGTAAATTGGACCCTTGGGCCCTGGGAAACAGACGTGTAGTTCCACCAGTCAGCCACACGGGGCGCTGCGGTTCATCCAACCTAGGAGCCCTGACGGGATATTCAAAGTTACGGGACATCGGGGACCGGTAAAAGAAAGACATGAACAGTATTTTTCACACGTCAAAAAGCGCCCAAGCAGCAAAGCAATAAAAGAAAAGCCCCCCCCCCGCGTCTCGCCGCGTGCTGGAGGTGTGATAAAGCAGCGCGTTCCTTCATTTCACCGCGTTTGACGCGAGGCCCGTCGGTCCGTCAGCGGCGGAGATCCTCTCATCTCCTCACAGCGGAGACCCGCGGACCCCCGTCGCGCGCGTGTGTCCGTGCGCGCGCGCGCGTGTGTGTGTGAGTGTCGGGGAGTTGTCACAGCAAAAAGTGTGTGTGTGGGGGGGGGGGGGAGCACACGCAACGTGCGAGAGGAGTTGAGGGAAAGAGAGAGACACAGAGGAGGAGAGTTGCGTGAGTGTCTGTGTGAGTGAGTGAGATAGAGATAGAGGGAGGGAGTGAGAGACCTCGGTGGAGGGGAGGAGGAGTAGAGAGAGAGAGAGAGAGAGAGAGAGAGAGAGGGGAGGAGGAGGAGAGCTCCGTCTCTCCCGGTGCACTTGGCAGTCTGCTTGCGGGCTGCTGTGCTGTTGCTGTCGTGGCGTGGCTGGTCGCGCCGGGCGGGGAGCGTCACCACACTGGAGCCCGGAGTCCCGCTCTCTCACCTGCGCAGTTCGGAGCTGCCATGGCTCTCTCGCCTGGATTTACTGTCCTGATCATCCTGCCGGCCTTTCTGCTGCACACCAGCGGCCTTTACATCGCCAGTAGCGTCGGTACGTACGGCGGGGTTAAACGTGGCCAGTGTTGATGTTTGTCTTCGTATCTTTTCCGGCGCTCACTTGAAGTCTGGAGATCAGCGAAGAGGAAAAACATTGTTTCTCATTGCTTTTGACATGCTTTTTATTGTTGTTTTTGTTGTTGTTGCAAACAACGCTGTGGGGTGCATGTGCAACTTCTGGCGTTTTTGCGGGCTGTGTCAGTGTTGCGATTGGCTTTTCTCTAATCCAGGGGACAGGGGGGGTGAAGGCTGTCTGAGGTGCAGGGGCCATCGGATGCACCGGTTTACCGTCGGGTTCGGCAGGGAAGTGTAGCCCAACATGATCTGATTCTGCCGCTGTCGCATCTATCGATCCGTCACAGGACGCTGGTGTCGGATGTCAGCGACATTGATCACACCATTATCAAATCACGCGTCTGACACGTGAGCTGAAGCAACATAAACAGCCAGTGTGAGGTTTGATCAGTCGGTTGACTTTATAAATAACGTAAGACGGGCGGATAGCGTTGTGATACTAATATTGATGATAATAATAATAATAATAATAATGAAGACCGCCACGTGCCCCCCCGGAGGACTACTTTAAGGTGCCTTCACGTCTCCGGCTGTGTGGTGTGACGTTAACACGGCCTCGGCTCTGCGGTGTGTGTGTGTGTGTGTGTGTGTGTGTGTGTGTGTGTGTGTGTGTGTGTGTGTGTGTGTGTGTGTGTGTGTGTGTGTGTGTGAGGTGTGTCGCTTTTCAAATGCACCTGTGTTTTCAGTGTCACTTGGAAACGTCCCTTCATCCAAGACAGCATTGACTCACTTTACATTTATTTGCATTTAGTTAAGATTCAGTGATGATATTTAAAAGACGAATAACGCGTTCCGCGCATCAAATGATTTGATTTAGTTTCATTTGGCCGTATAAATCACTTTTCGCGAATAGAGCAGCGTGGCAGCGAGAGAACGGCGCGAGAAAGCCGCAATTAGCGCCTTCTCCTGCTGCAGGCTCTCCTGTTGATGGTGGAAGGGCACAGGAGGTGTCAGGAGCGCAGCGCGCTCTGCTGAGGCTGCAGTAACCGAACGCGCGCTGCCGAGCACCGGGGTCGCCTCTGGGTGGGGCTGTACTTGTGTGTCTGCGCTTGTGATTGGTTACATTTTTTTCTCATTTCTTTTACTTATCATGGTGACGGAGAATGTGCATTACTTAATCCTAGTACATTCTTTTTTCCTGTACATATTTTTGTTGCACCCGTGACATCCTCTCCACGCGTCTCCCATGATGATATCCCACCACTGTTGTTGTTGTTTATTTTTTCATCTTTAACCTCCAACAGTCTTCAATACCTAATTTTCACGTATAAAACACACAACAATCTTTCCCACTCTGACCTGCCACTACCTCCCTCTCTCTCTCTCTCTCTCTCTCTCTCTCTCTCTCTCCCTCCCTCCTCTACTGTCCTGTTCCCAGACTCCCTGCAGCATGTCCTGGGGGAGTATGGACTGGTGAGGCCGATCAGTGTGGACGCGGAGGGCCGCTTCCTGTCGCACGCCGTCTCGGCTGGCCGCGTGGCAGGAGGGCAGTCCCGTAGGCGCCGGAGGAGGGAGGTAGGAGTAGGCGATGATGATGAGTGGGAAGGACCAAAAGAAGAGCCCATGGCCCTCCGCCAAAGCCTCTACTACAATGTCACCATCTTCGGCCGGGAATTCCACCTGCGTCTGCACCACAATGCCAGGCTGGTGGCCCCCGGAGCCAAGATGGAGTGGCACGATGACAGCGACAGCACTCTGCATTCTGAGCCATTGCACGATGAATGCTTGTACGTGGGGGACGTCAAAGACGAGCCAGGAGCCTCTGTGGCTATTAGCAACTGTGACGGCCTGGTGAGTGGACACACTTTGTACCTCTTATGTGTGCAGTGTTCACTGAGCTCACTTCATGACAGAATTAACACGACCACGTCTTCCTCCCTGGTGACGGTTTTCTGGATGACCATGTAGCTCAGAAGGGGGTCCTCTTTTCTCCCCAACATCCTCCAAACCGGTTGCCTGGGATGAGAAATACCTGAGTCATGTTTTCCCTCTGACCTTTATGATATGCTCATGTAAACGGGAGATTATCAAAGGTATATATTGATCCCTCACCGATAACCTCATATATATGTATATATATATATATATATATATATATATATATATATATGTATATAATAACATTGTAGCACTGGACAAATAGCAGACACTTCCAGAGCATTTGAATTGAAGATGCCACCATCAGATATTTTGATTGCACAACAGTTGCTAAAAGAGCCTGAATTGCACGTGCTTTTAATGGAGCTGACGATGATACGGTACGATGTGGTACGATGGCGATGAATTGAGGAAAAGAATCAGAGATGGCAGTTGGTGAAAGGATTTTGGGGAGAGGAGTGAGATGTAGACCGTGTGAAGAACGTTCACAGGAACAGGAAAGATGGAGACCAGTGACCGAGAAGGACGTGGAAGGGACAAGTGTGAGAGACAAGTCTCACGGCAGTGGAAAAAAAGTCAATACGAGCAAAAATGGATCACGGATGTGTACAGGGAATATTGGGATTGGGGGTGGTGTTCCCCTCATTAGGAAAAATTGTTCATTAGTCAGCCAGATCAGGCCGCCACCGGAGCTGAGTAGCAGCGACTGGATCCGTTTAGGGTGGAGGACACAGGGGACTGAGCAAGCAGCTGAGCGAGCAGGCAGGGAGCCAGGACAGCACAGGCCTGACATGCCCACTTAGCCTGACACAGCGAGCAGCAGCAGCAGCACCGAGCCGCCGCTGCTGCTGCTGCTGCTGCTCGCTCCGGCCCGTCACTCCGGGGCCTTTTGGTAATTTCTAGGAAAGGTTGCTGTCAAAGCGTAGTTGGTTATGGATAACGGATCAGACCAGTGTGGCTGAATGCATATGAATGCCAGGATTTGAAAGGGTGGGTTCACATGTTCACATAATACTTGTGTTTTTTTTTTTATCACTAGGTTATTATGACTCTAATTTAAACGGTGGGGCAGAAAATCAACAGTTTTCCTGATCTGCAGAATTGGAACCTGTTGCATCCAAGGGTCACCAAATCTGGTACAAAACGAGACAGAACCGAGCCAGAACAGGATTATTGTGTACTCGTCACAGACAAATATATGAATGCTTCAGTTCTTTCAAAACTTGAGAGTCTTGGTTATAATATGCACCAACCTGTTCGAAAATACTCCAAAAACAACTCTAATAAGCTATAAAATAAGATATGCAAATCGGTCAAAAAAATATGCACACGGCATTCACTTTTAATTGTAATAGTTATATTTCCATTTTTGCACAGAAGAACTGTCAAGTTAATACCACATTACTTACATTAGAAAAGAACCCCTTCAGGATCTTTCAGTGTTTTTTTACATTTTTCTTTCTAAATGGAGTAAAACAATATTGTTAATGTAATAATTTATAACACAAATATTATTAAATTCACCGCTGTAATCACAAAATATTCAAAACACAAAGATTATCGCTCTCCACTTATATTTAATTGGTGTCTCCTCGCCCCTGAACAACTCATGTCATTACTAATCAATGCGTACAACCTCCTCAGACACGCCAAGAAATGCAGCCGAGCTCTATGCAGCTCTGCTGAACCTCTGCCCACATCTGCCTTTTGAAACCTGACGTAGCCCTGATCTGCCCGGTTGTGCCCACTTCCTCAGTGACCCGGCCACCTGGTTAGAGCGTCTTCCGCCCTCTCTTACCACTCACAGGCGAGGGTCTTGCTGGCCGTGTGTGTGTGACAGCAGCTAGGAGGGAGAGAGGCAGGACGGGGGCAGAAAGGTTCAAATCAAAATACAAGAAAATAGTAATAAAAAGGGCATCAAAGCGTTGAATGGACAAATGACCTTTGGAGAGAATTGGATTTCTGTGAACAGAAGCTGTGATCGGCTGGTTAGTTCTTTGAGAAGAGGCAGCACTCTCTACAGTATGAGAACTAGAGTGTGTTTGTGTAATGTTAGTCCTACATGGGTACAGGACAAAATGAATTTAATCTGCAGCTGAGGCTGTGTTTCTGTTTGTGTGTGCAGAGAGCCGAATGGGAAAGTGCATGAATCAGACCAAAAAAAACCTCATGCATTAATATTGGTGTTTTCCAGTGTCTGGAAACACAGAAAACACCTGCTTTTGTATGAAGGCCTCGTTATTTGAACATTGAATTCGAATTCGAATTGAACATTGATGCAGGAAGATGGGTGCTTGCTGCGTCGATTTGTTGCACTGCACAAACCTTTTTTCCATAAAAATATTGTATTTTAAATTAGGTAAGTAAATCTATTTTAGCCTTGAAGGTTGTACGATGAGGAAACGCCTTCAGGTTTGTTTACGTAATGCTTCGGGATCTATGACAATTAAAATTAAAATTCATTTTGTATGTCTTCTCAGACAAAGGAATCATAAAATGATGAAAAACAACGCAAAGATCTGAATTCCTGTATTTTAATTCGATGTGAATGCATCTGTGCTTTTGTGTCCCCTCGAACCGCCGGCCCCACAGGGGTCTTTCCTCCAGCCCCACCTATTTGTTCAGAGACGTGGACGCTGTGGTCGCCTGATTTTGTGTGTGTGTGTCTTTTTAGGATCTTATGTGGAATGTTGAGTGTCAGCAGAGCGTTTCCTTTAGAAGAGACCGTTGCATCGGGACGGGATGTACAAAATGATGGCTATTTAATATGTCAAACTGATGCGCTGAAGCAGTTAAGTGGGGACTGTTACACTTTGCACAGTTTCTCAAACTCAGATCGGAACACAATCATTTTCCCTCAGGAAGTTTATTCATTTTCTTCAAATCATTTGATTCTGATAAAAGCACCTCTGCTGTTTACGAGCCCTGTTTCCCAAAGCAGTAAAGTCAGGTCGAGAGGTCTTATCCTTTTACAGAGATTCTGCTGGGAGCGATTTATATGTGACCAATTCTAAAACTAAAAGTCTAAAAGTCCAAGTAGGGATTTGAATCCATAAACGTAAAAAAAAGCCATCTTTCAGCAGGATTCACTTATCTTTCAAACGTATACAGCGATGAGAGAACTACTGTGAAGCAAAACATCTCGTGTCGACAGATAAAGTTTAAATAACCCCGTCAACTGAAACAAATAGTTGTGATTAATAGGCATAACTGAATTAATTACTACCAGGAGACCAATACTTTACATGTTACACTCACTCACGATGGGCATTGTACACTTTCGCGCATGTGCACATTGTGCGTTTTCAAACGCACACCCGCGCTGCAGGCGGGCTCAGACACACACAGCAGGGACGGACAGCAGCCAAAGGCAATGTCCCCGTGAACCTTCTTCTCCTCGCTGCGAGACAAAAAAGCCTGTGCATACATTTCTCTAATTGTCTCCGCCCCTCGCTCGTCTCGCTCTCTCTCTGTTTTTGTGTCTTTACGGCCGGCAGCGTTAGCAGGCAAGCAGGAGAGCTCCCCTAATGATGGTATTAAAAGAGTCAGGGAAATGACAGAGAAAGAGAGTGAAAAAGAATGTGGCAGACAGCTTTTTGCTCCCCAACACCCACAGATTCAGAGCTCACAGCGAGAGGCAGGGTTCCTTTAGTGAGCAGTCTTTGTCTGTTTTTAGCAGCAGCTCTGCTCCCAAACGTTGATCAGACAAGTGGTGCTGAGGGTTGAGGGGAATACCCGCTGTCTATGAAGAAAAACGTTTCCAACCACCAAGTTATAGATCTCGGTCTTGCTGGTTGGAGGATATTTTATGTAGGCTAATTGCATAGTTTGGACATTGTTATTTGTCGGCAGATCGTTCGCACTGATCCTGTGCCTTTGTATATTCTGATGTGCCATATTTATGTTTGCTTCAGTTCACGTGTGTTATTAGCACACAGCAGGAATGCTTGAAGGCGACCGTGTTATTTTGGTGCTTTCATTGAAAAGTCTCAACATCAACAGCAAGGAGCGCCAACGCGCTGACAGGTGTTTTATTTATTTTTCACTGTGGGCGGATGTCACATCGTTATTTAAATACTATGAAAAAATTGTATTCAGGGTTACAATACAAATTTCAAGGTATGCACAGATACAGTAGCAAGGTATTGCTGACAATGGGGCCTAATTTTATATATATTTACAACATCCTCTCCATAACTGCATTTTAAAGGTTTACAATTGAATTAGAATTCCTGTTAATTTTGAAGATTTTCCCAGTGAGGCATTTAGCATCTAGCTTATTAATTAAACATTAGTATCATATGAGCACTCTGTATCTGCCGTTATCTGAAACCCAGGTAATTGTGGCAGGACTGAAAAAGTCAGATTGCTGCATCGCTCACTTACCCATCCATCCATCCACCCACCCACCCACCCAGCCCTCCATCCAGCAGCCCGGCAGCTTAGCTCGGTCAGGCGTGGCAGCTCGCTGGGCCCTGCAGGGTGTTATTCCACCCCGAGTCACACAATAAACAGCTCTCAACCGTAATCAGCTCAAATTGAAATGATGACATCAATTACAGCACGGTGCACGGCTGTTATTGACCCCGGCCCTCACGGGCTGTGTAGAGCACGCTATATCCTGTATACAAATAAAAGGCGCGTCTGCAGGAACCGCATGGCCGGAAGGAGGGCCGGGGGTGTAGCGAGACCAGACTGCTGAGGCACGGTATGAATGGAGAGACGGACGGCAGCGGAGGGAAACGCGTTCTCGGTATCTGATTGCAGGTTCCACCCTGCAGTGTAACTCCACTCAAACACACAATTACCCAATCTAGAGATATTATCAGAGCGAGAGGAAGGAATAGAGGAAGAGAGGTACAGAGAGAGAGAGAGAGAGCCCATACTGAGGAACACTCTACTGAGCAAAAGAG